AAACGTTTGCAAACAAACTGCCAAGCTCGGTGAACAGGCGAAATGGAATTCAGTTCATCCGAGCTACAAGAACCGATTTTGAACATTTTGTAAATTTAATACTTTTAACAACTTAATAAACATTTCTTATGCCTCATTCCTAACTATCACAACTCATATTTCATGCGTAATATTATCGTTATTTAATAGTACTCGTGAGTAGCAAACAAATATTTGCGAGGTAAGCCTTGGAAGGAGTACCGGAAGGTAACGTCAACCCGACTCTTTAGCAGTTACTCCAAACAGAACCGGGTACTTGTTCTTGCTTCCTCGTACATGTGAGTGGAGGTCAACTGACAATTTTGGGTACAGTTCACAGATGTGAAAGCAGGTCAAACGCGTACCAACTATGAAAGGCAGTTCCTCTGGTTGAATCTAGTTCTGGTTCGAGAATCTTCAGAACCGGTTTAAACAGCTATATAAATTGTAATATGTTCCGATGAAATGGGGTTGAGATCTTATTAGTGAAGCAAGTGAGGATGGACAGCAGCAGAGGAGACCGGGATCAACTGGATCGAAAGCTGTATTCACTTCGGTTGGTAAATCTCTATTTTAGGATTCGCCGAAAAGACGAATACGTTATCGGCCAAGCCCGAGAAGCTGAACACTTGAGTAGGATACACAGAGTTATTGAAATGATAAGTCGGAAGAGCACGAGGAAATTAAAGGCAAGGGTTTGATCTAGACACTTCGGTTTCCACTGGAGAGAACCAGACACCTCTCAGAACTCAGAGATAAGATATTGAGATTCGTGCAGGGGATACAAAATATCCTAAAAGGGAACAGAAGAAAACAACCGACGCGGTGGTTTCCTACGGTGCACTGCTGTGGTATTATTTGCAACAACAAATGGAGACAGAATGAACTCAAGTCTCGTCTGATACAGACAACTTACTGGCTGTGCGGCACAATTTAGATAACGCATCTGTTGTGGTAATTTGATGTAGGCTTCTGTTGACGAAACACTCAAGTCATTGCATAGACAGTAGAACGAAACCCGGTCGGTACCGTGTGGCTGAGACGGGGTCACGCCACCAATCTCCACAATCGTCCGATCGGGGTTGTTCTGTGAAGACAGATGACGTCGAGGACGGGGAGCACTGTTGCTCCCACTACCATTGCTGGTGTTGCTAACGGAGGTCTGGTTGTTACTTTCTCGTAATTGAGCAAGGGAACAACTACAGGACAGATTTGACGGATCTGGAGGAGTGTAGGACAAAAGAAACGTTAACCCAACGTAAGCTCTTGATAAACCGTAAATGCGAAACGAAAACTCAATCAATGGTAATTAGCTCAGCATTATCGTACAACGGTCAAAGAACTATATTGTCAGACGAGCACAGATGACAAATAACCCTGAGAAGATGAAATAATACCGAAAAAATGATGCGATAATGATTTGAGTTATTAAAAAATGAACAGTTGAGCTTGTCGGGCAATAGAGCTCGAGAACCATGCTAATCAAAAATTCGCGTAGAAAATGTGTGGCACGGGGATAAGATGAAAAGCAAATCTTGCGACGTGCTGATATTTTTAGTTTTATAAATAACAGCGCGGGTTAAAAAAGATAATTTTTGCAGGAACTGGCAGCCGGTTAACCTGATCAGATTTTTTTAATTACACAATGTGAATTACAGTAGACAGGGAAACCTCCATGGGCAAATAGCATACTGTAAAGGGGAGAGTATGGGAACATTCATGTAAGATCCAATTTGTTGATTCTGCGTTTAAAAAATGTGAGATTGTAAGTTGGGGGGGGGGNGGGAGGGGGGGTGTTCCACAGTTTGGGGGAAAAAGAAGATTGGAGTAGAGAGGTAGAATATCTGGGAACAGAAACCTGATAAGGATAACTAGATGCCTGTGTACGGGATGGGCGGGTAAAAGCTGCAAAAAGGGGAACTGCCAAGATAAGTTCCGAAGAACAAAAACTAAAGTAGTAGCGGTAGAACAGGGACAATGAAGCGACTGTCTGATGATGGGCTAGCGAGTGCATACTGGATGTTAGGCAAGGACCATCGATTCACCGGATGACCTTTCGTTAAACACGATCAAGAAGAGAAAGGGAAGAGGATGGAGCCCCATTCCACACGTGACTACAGTATTCAAGAGCAGGGTGAATTAGAGCTTTGTATAATAGAAGATGAGCTGGGGTGAAAAAACGTTTGGCGCGAAACAGAAATCCAACCTTGCGCGCAGCACGAGAAGCAAGCTTAGCTATAAAAGGGGTCCAGCATAAAAAAGAAGTTATAGGCAATCCAAGAAAGGAAACAGAGTCTGTGGAGCGCAGTTGGGTGGAATCAAAAGATAAATGGGGGGAGAGAACGAATGGTGGTTTAAAGAAATTGAAATTAAAAAAAGGGCGAGCGGAGAAGAAGCATGGAGAAAATGGTGTGCAGAATCAATATTACGGTTCAGTCCGCGAATGTTGATGAGGATGGTGAGTGCATGTTTCCAGTATGAGTGCGTAGAGAGAGCGAGAGTACGTGAGCGTTTGTGATTTTGTATTGTCATGATTATGTTGTGAGGAAACCGGCAGCCATGATCCTGAAACTTGGAGTGGCGGACCACATAAGGCTTCAATAGATCAGGCGTGGTAGTGAGCCGGGCGACGACAGAACCATCTACCACCTACGACTAGATGTATGGGAGAAAGGCATGAAAATGGGTCGTTCAGGAGCACATCAACAAGCGATAAACCTTGTGATAGGCGGATAATAATAATGAGTGGCGTTGGTCATGCGGTTCACGTGGTTAGTACTGGCGTGCACAGGAGCTCAAAGTTCCAGGTTCGACCACAGCTACTTTCACCAACTTTGATGATAGAGAGCCTTGCTGTCGTCTGACACAACATCACCGCTATCTTGTGGGAGCCTTATATGGTTCAACACTCAAAGTTCAAAGCCCTAGTTCACTGGTTATCAGGAAAAATTAGACAAGCATTGACAATTACGGGATTTGTTTCATCCGCTGTTTATTGTACGACAGTGTGTAAGAACCAAAAGCGTCAGGAAATGTTGAATAATGAATTTGACTAACGGATTAACTTATTTTATCAATCACTACATCAGGATGAATGTGCGTGCATAGTAGATAACCAGCGGTATTTAAAAGAGACACGACATGTAGAGTGAACCACGGTAGTAAAAAAGGAAAAGGTAGGATAATTATCTATCTGATCAACGAGCTTTGAAACAAGACCATAAATGCGGAAGCCTGTGTGTTCGATAGCTCGAAATCCACCCGGATGTGGAATGAAGAGTGATAGAGAGACGGACGGGGACGAAATGCACATAACCGGTCTGTTTCAGTTTACATAATGTTGAAACTTTGTCTACTGCATATTTGAGACAATTGGTTCTAGGGTGGAGCATCATTCGCGCAAACAAAAAGAAGCTGAATCTAATGCATGAAATATGTTGGTAACAGCGAATCACCAACGCTGATCTTCGACTCAGACAATCTTAGTCATTCTCTGAGCGATCTCATCTCGTTCTAAAACTTTTGATGGCCGGGACGAATACGGATGACGGCTCAACGACTGCCTCAGAATGTTGTGTTTGGGCAAACCAAAATTAGCTAGAAGCGGTGACAAGGTGAACAACGAATAACCTGGGCTTGAACGATGAAGGCGTTAACCTCAAAACTGATAGTGGTAGGACGCTCAGGGCTACCATGTTGGGGTCTCAAGGGCAGCGAACATCTATGGCTTGCGACAATGGTAACCGGCGTCGATGGGCCACCTGTTGACAGACTTTGTCTGTTGATTTGTATTTGAACCGTTTTCACATTTCTTTCTTCGTATGTTATGGCATATTTGTCAATTCTATGTGATTGGTGACGTGTTGAATCTATTGGGAAAGACGAATCACTGATTTGATTTGATTTTCGAAAACAGCCTCAGAAATACGGACCCAAGTGCCATTAGAAGCCACATGGTACCGTAACCGACCACAAATATGTGACATTCCCGTACCATAACCTGCATTTTTGGCAATGTTTTAAAATTCAACTGAATCGCTGCACTTAAACCATTCTTCCCGTTGAACATATTGAACAATTTAATTCAAAATGCGTGACACACTTGAGAGCGGCTTTTCCAACTCTGACAAATTCGTATTTCGAATCTCACAATACACATGATTGACAGAAGGCAATTCAGCCGGAGTACCACCGATGTAACAAAATCATACATGTTTCCTCCCTCAGATGCTAGCCCAATTTCTTCTGTAAAAATGCCGAATATTTCTGACACACTAATGAATCCTTTTGATCACATTTCAATAAATTGAGAAACACCTTATAGAGAGGCGTGTGAGCATAGCCTCGACGGTAATTCGTCAAACTGCTTGCCGACCACTAAACAATTAGTAAGATTTACCAGGGTTAAAAAAACCTTTTCAGGTGTATCACGTATTTTGAAGCACATGGCACGTAGATGAGGATGCGTGATGATTTATCAATTCCACAAACTAACTAGGAAATTTAAAGTAATACAAAAGGCTGTCAATTCTCACCGGTTGAATCGCAAACCGTCGCACTATCATCTAGTTCATGAGAACACGGACAATCCACATCTGTTGACGGTGATCCGTTCACTGAATGATAGTCATCGACAATGATCACATGTGATTCCAAACGCGGATCATTTGTTCGGCCGACCGTTGTCCAGGTATCCAGTCGCACATCGTAGCGTATAATGGTATTGACCACAGTCAGACGTGGAACTCCCTCAGATGAACGAAGTGCTTCCGATTCTGGGGAATGCCACAGGGNNGTTGCACTGTTGGATCGTTGAGCGGACTGTTGGTGATGCTGTAACTGTTGCGGTTCTAAGGGTGTGTGATCCGGATTGTCCTCCGGATGATGCGAGACAGACAGACCGCCAAACACGTATATGGATGATCCGCCCACAGCCAAAGCTGCATGACGTGCTCTCGCCTGTGGCATTGAACTACACTGCGTCCAATATCCGCGGCTTGGTGAATAAGAAAACACAGTGGACATGATCGTTCCAGCCTGTAATGAGAAAGAGGATAGTGGAGATCGCAATGAAAAACTACAAACGCACACACAGAGCATCAATTGAAAAAGAACGAGCAGTCAAACACGATTGTCAGAATAAAAAAAGATGGACAATGAAAACAGTTTTAACTAGTAAATTCATGAAAAATTTGGAAACACAGGGGAAGAAAACATTTTATAACTCTGACACTCTATGGAACACGGCTAGGATAAGCAAACATGTATTTAGTAACTAGTTTTATTATCTCCGCACCGCTGGATGTAATCTTGTGACACTGCTTTCCATTTTTTTCTTCAAAGTTTATCTCAGAATATGCAGGTTTGAGAATGTTTTTTCTTCATTCCTTTCACCATGAAGTCTGAAGTGTTTTCGATAAAACTGAGATCCGATGAGCTGGCTGAACAAGCGCGAGACAATTGCCCAGCGTAATTCCGCACAAAATAAAAACAATGCGGCCTGGCATTGCCATTCTGCCGAGGTTATCTTATTATATTGGGTCTTCGAGAGAGCCGATGATCGTTCGGAATCGCATTGTAACTGGTCTCCGAAAACCATCGCCAGATGCGGGTCGATATCCTTGTAAAAGGTGTATGAACAAGAACACCGCTATTTTCAGCCCCTAATCACGTACAGATTCTGTTGTAACAATAAAGAATCTGACTAGTGACTCGGTGCGACGAAGAGCATTCNTCCTTTGCGTGGACTGTTCACATTTACCCAGTTACCGAATATACACGAGCAGGAAGCGTGCTCAGGAGTTTACATAAACGATGTTCCAACCAATAAGGCTTTATGATGGACGGGCATTGTTTCATTCGCTCTAATGCAACTAGTCAGCCTTTAAAGGCATTAGAATTGATGCAGTTGCATCAATGTTGCAGGCACGCCGATTCGTAAAAGAGATTGGTTTTAGTTCTCTGGTGCTTGACAAACGATAACGTACAAAGAATCTCGTCGAACTGCTGCACCTAAACTGTGGTCAGTAACAGTGAAGACGAGTATTGTTTGAGTCTCGCAAACTTGAGTATGGGTGAGCATCGAAGCGGGAATCCAGGATGCTAATATTACTCCAAAAGAAATGTGGTATGCATATATACAGTCTTCGGTTTCAACAGATCTGTCGAACAATTGTCGACCGTATAAAAAGACTACAACAGTTATTTAGGTTATCCGAAGGAGTTAAAAACTAATCTGAATCATCTGTCAGCAGTTATTTGTTTATTGTCTCATTAAATATAAAAAATTAACGGAAACCGTATGTTTGATCATCCAGAAAAGGAATAGAAAACAGCAGATGGAAGTTTTGAATGAAAAATTGGAACGCTTCCTGCTCTAACGTGTGAATCGCAAGCCAGTCGAGGGCTGAACATCAGCTTGTGATTCACGCAGAGCAGTAGAATTATTGGTCGATTCACAATCACTTTTGTCGGTTTGGTGATTTATCCATTTATCTCAAACTTGTACAACACTGCCCCATGTGGTAAAAAATACTATTGCATTACGTTAGTCGTATCAAGTGGGTAGAAAACTGTGACCTATGTGACAAAACAGTACCCGTAAAACGCCATGAAAAAACCCATCGGAAAAGACGGAATCTGTTTTGTGTGTGTGGATAATGATGATGCACCGATGCAACAGCACACACTAGGAGGGGTTGGGATAAATCAACGCGCATATCAGTTAACGCTCTGTCGTCATCCCAACCACTAAGCTGTAGACAATAAAGCAATCACACCAACATGTCAAAGCGGAACGTGATAGAACAGTTTCGCGTAATTGACAATCTGCTCTCACCAATGGTACACTGGTTCAATTCGGCAAATCAACTGACAACCAACAACCCAGCTCTGAGCAGACTATATCACCAGAATGAGGTGATTCTAAGGTCACCGATTTGATACAAATAAACAGTTGGTCTTATTGCATTCGAATTTCAGTGTTCCTTCTACTATAATGCAGCTAGCTGTTTCAACCGATTGTGAGACCGAAAATAATATACAAGACAAATAGACTTTTAAAACTATTCTTAATATCAACGACACATTTACTGAATGCAAGGAAAAGGTTGAAACATTTAGATCTCGTCGTGAATTCGAACAGGCAAGTCAGTACACAAATACTACGAGAGGAATTCCTTTCGTAAATTCTCATTGGTCGCAGATGTATAGCACTAAACCAGATCGACAAATTAATTTAAGAAGCCAGTTAAGTTTTATAGTGTATGTGCGGTTGCACAGGGTTGGTTACATACAAAATAGGCCAAGCCTAGGGATTATATGCTTCTGGACACAGTTAGTTCGTTGTGGGCGATGGTTTAGGGCTCGAGTATCGTTAGTCAATGTTTGTTGCGATGGCGTAACAAAACGGAGTACGTAGTCATGGGGTCTACTTTAGGACCACTTTCGATTAGGTGGCGTGCGATGATTGAGTTTGGATTTTGTTTAGTATGGTTCATTTTAAGTTTGAGTGTAGATATGAGAAAGACTGCATAAAGACATTTCTAACTAGGCAGAACCAAAGACTTTGTATCAGAATTAGTTATAGCACTGCCTCGGAAGGTCGGTCAATAGTCTTCGGTTCGTCAGATAAAAAAGTCCAGGGGGTGAGTTGTTTGTTTCAATCTTTCACGAGCCCGGATTCAGTAAGCTATCCCACAGACGAGGGCCGTTTGTTTGTTCGCCTACATAATGTCAGTAAAGAGCGAGTAGCATGGTGTCGAGGTCTTTTCTTCGCACTGAACAAATACGGGGCATGTGTGCAAAGGAGCGATGGTTTCAGTCATGGAATTATTCATCCATATTTTGACTAGGCAACTCTCCCTGTGAAGAGGATTCATCAAATTCATGGTTCGAAAAAAGGATATATGTGCAAAAAATTGTGGCATTTGCGATGGATTCGTAACGAAACCCATTCCCATTTCATTCTAATAAATCGAGACTACAGGGAATGCGAGAATAATGTAAATCCATGCGAACCAAAGGAATCCCAGGTGGCCACTCTGAGCGATGCACGTTACTGACCGTTATGAAATATATATTAGAGAATTCAGCTTGAATAAACCTGATTGAGATAACTGCAGTTCTTTATTCACCAGTTGACGAGCATTTCAGGAGAAAACCGGTAATTTCACGCGCAAAATTAGGCAATAGAATAAAAAACGCACAAAAGCATACATTAACTCTTCCTGATTTATATGAATGTTTCGAGCCCCCTTTTTGGTTGTCTACTACTATCATAATAACTTTGATCCGCCGTTGGCTTATGGGTTTCTTGTTAGGGTAGGGGAATGGGTCGTACGGCAATAACTGAGGTCAGAGATCAGCTTCCGTCCAGTAATAGGTTCCAAGGTAATCGGGCAATTGGAATTGATGTCAGTGGCGTGCTCCAGAGTTGGGATCTTGGCGCAGATACTCAACCTTAGTGGTATGCAACACCATCCGAGCCTTGTGCAGTTCGCTGCTACAAGTTCCAAGGCTTAGGTCACCAGTTTTACAGTCAAACAATAGGTTTTCGGTACCACGTGGTTTGTCACGTATACTACTCCCCGCAATCGAAAACCTGAGCCACAGAAAGTAGGAAATCCCAAAAAGGTTTTTTAATCACCACGTGTACCGAAGATTCGATTTGTCGATATGCAAAAATGTTCGGTTCGTTTTCCATCAGCGACTCAGACCACATACACAGACTCAATATACACTTATTCTGTTGCCGTTACAAGAACACGGATTTTTTGTATTTGTTGAAGACATCGACAGGATATCATGGAACAAACTGATATTAGTTTGTGAAAATTTAATGTAGAAATTTCTTCACATTAAAAGGTTTTCAGTTTTCTATTATACGTTGATAAATTAGCAGTTTTGTAATTATTGTTTTCCATATCACTGATTCATCAGCCTAATGCTGACCGTACATGCAATAGATGTCTTTAATTTATAACCCCTCGATTGGTCTAAAGGAGAATAATCCACCGAACTGGTTCTGTCTTGTCATTCCACATCTCAGGTTCATCACTTACATTTAAATGCGCTACGACTCGCACCTATTCCTGTATCCAATGATTGCCAATCAAATCGTCAGGTGTAAAGTTCGTAGATATTGATGTTTTGAAAATACAAACATCTGTTTCATTCATCAGATTACGTACTCATATTGTCAGTACACAATTACCTATTTAAAGGCTAGCATTTCGAAATGTAGAAGTAAAACTTGATGAATGGAAATGTATGAACTCGTGGAAAACGCGTATTGCAGGGTTATCGAGTGACAATTACCAGATTCTTGGGAGCAGCGAAAGTTATCCGGTAACGATCCGATAAATATAAAGAACTACGGACAATCCGCAGTGATGTGTACAATATGCGATGTGATCTTGTCGTGTGTAGGAATGAAAGTCAAACAGTTGACTAATTTAGGCAAACCTTCGCATCATTTGGTTCGTCCCATTGCAGTGCACTTCTGCTCTGATCGAGGAGCCGCCAGATATCATGAAATCACGTTCGCGATAGATTACTAAACATTCACTAACAGTCCATTTTGGTGAACATAGCACTTCGAGGTGAGTTTTCGTGTTTTGTCCTGATCCAATCGCTGGGCGTTCACGAAGGCCGCGTTAGATTCATGTTTCACCACACAATACAAATATATTAAAATAGGGTCATCTGTGCCACCGGAAACCAAAAAACAAAACAAAACAAAAAGTTTCAAACATTGCTGTCTCGGCCTTTCATACAGTTGATGTGGAATTCACTTAGCTAACTTTTTGACTCAATCGATTTCAGTTATTTACCTGCTGACATTAAACATCAGCGATAAATCGTACGCAGTTTGAGATAAATTGAACTAGTTAACGAACATTAATTCGTCATTATCTGTCTTAGATGTTCACCGATCACGTAGCCGATTCATGAAGTAGACAAGAACG